CTCCTCCTCCTCCTCCTCTCTTTCCTCCTCCTCCTCCTCCTCCTCCTCCTGAGATGGTGAGAATGACCCTCCTGTCCTTGTGTGTGTCCTCCTGCAGGAGTTGTTGCAGAGGCAGCTCCTGGAGGCCAACAGGAAGGCCCAGGAGTACCGGCAGCAGCTGATGCGTAAGGAGCAGGAAGCTGAGGAGTACCGCATCAAACTGGAGGCCATGTCCCAAAGTCAGGCCAACGCCACCAACGCCAACAACGCTGCCGCCGCCGCCACTGCCAGCCCCGAGGAGGTGGTGGGAGGGGAGGAGGACGAGGAGGAGGCGGCGACCGGCATGGTGGAGGAGGAAGGAGAGATGGTGGTGCTGCAAGAGGGAGGGATCATCATGGAGGGGGAGGAGGGTCAGGTGACACTGGTGGAGACGGGGGGAGAGACAACGGAGGTGAGCTCCTAACAGAGAGGAGGAGGAGGAGGAGGAGGAGGAGGAGGAGGTGGGTGACTCGTGTTTGCATCCACTTTAACGGGTGACGAGTGTGTGATGGAGGGGAAGGAGACGAAGATGGTTTGCTCCATTTTGAATCCCCGAAAGACACCGAGAGGACGGGAGGAGTTCAGACCGGCTCCATTTTGAATTCCTGAACACTTCAGAGAGGGAAACAAAATGGATTCCCCAAAAAGACAACGCAGGAGAAGGAGGAGGAGGAGGAAGAGGAGGAGGAGGAGGAAGACGGACTGAAAGAGGCCCGAACAGCACAGAGGAGTTTAGTCGTGCACCATTTTGAATCCCCGAAGATTTGATTCCAACTTGTCAAAGTGGGAAACAAAATGACTTCTCAGAAAAAGACAACAGACGTGAGAGAGTTTAGAATAACTGGCTACTGAAGAGGGATGGAGAAACAGATTAACTGAGGAGGAGGAGGAGGAGGAGGTGGGAACATTTATCTTTAATCGTAACCACAATCAGTGATCCCAAACCAAACCAGAATAATGACACGAGTCGGGTTTGGAAAGACCTCCTGAACCTTGACGCACCGTTTTGCTTCCCCCTTCAACCGGAATGCTTATGAAGACAATAAACAGGATGCAGCAGGGATTTAGAGTTTTAGTTTGTCAGTTTAACAGTTTCCTTGTTTATTTTTGAACATGGATGGTTATCCCCAGTACACCATTAATATCCCTGTTATTTGTTCTTTCAGTGTTTGTCAGTGGGTGAACCAGCACCGCTGTTCATCTGATGCCCGTAACTCTAATGATGTGTTCCCACCAAACACAAGGTGAATACTGGCTGTTTAATGTCTCACTGCGTCAGTGTGAGCCACAATAATCAGCTGTTTCTGTGATTAATGTCAATAAACGGATCAATATGATGCTGAATTAACGACGTCATGATGCCGATTTGTCAAAAGTCTGAATTCATCCTCTATCAGTTCGTCTGCAAGACGATGAACAAACAACTCTAACATGTTGTTTTCTGAATGGAGTTTGGTTGATCAGGGCCGTACCAACGTCCTCGCTTCCTTTTCTGTCCGCTCTCTTTACATATGAAGACTGAATCATTTTATTCACGTTTGGTGGGAACGCAGCATAAGTCTTAATCAGTTGGGACCATGTTACTCTCACCTCGCTGAGGCTTTAGCACCGTTTTGCTTCCCCAAACAAAAGCAGACACCATCGCCCACGACTGAAAGCAAAGAAAAATATGTTTTCAGATTTTTTTTGACACTACAAGAACTCACTCTGACCTGCTCTCCTTCTTCTTATTGTTGTTTATAATTAGTCATTTTTCAGATTTAAGAACTAATACGACTTAAGAGTTCCCATTTATTTCCTGAAAAATTGAACTTCCTTTGAGTCCAGACAAGAACTGAACCAGATCCATCATGGAAACCTTCAATTTATCAAATCTGTCATTTAGACGTCATTTTTGTGGTAATGAAGGGACGAGTTCGGAAACTGTCGGTGAGTTCAAAGACGCTCCGATAGCTGAAATATGAGTTGGCTGCTGAAAAGGAACAAATCTATGACTGTGCGTAACATCGACTGTATATAAAGACGGACCAATCAGCAACCTCCCAGCTGCATGTGAAGTAACAAACCCTGCAGTTCCTCTGACGACCACTAGAGGCTGGCTCCAGCTGTGAGCTGGTTAATTAATGTAGATTAGCTCGCTCACAACTATAGAGTTTTACCAGAGCTAGTTTTAGCAATACACGAGCTAACTAGATTACTAATTACCTTTGAACTAATTAACTCGTGTTTAACTGAGAGATAAAACCAGGTAATCTACATTCATTATATATCCTTATACGCAGTCGGTGAAATGTACCTCGTCAGTTGGGTTGACAGGCTGCTTCTTTTCATAATAATGTAACTTTGAGCTGAACTTTGGCTGTTAATGATTGATTATTGATTGATTATTGATCTCTGGAGCAGTTGATTTTCATAGACATGAACTGAACGTCAGTCTGGAAGAAAGGAAATGGAGATAGAAATATCAGCAGTGAGCTCCTCTGATCTGTTTGTGTCTGGTCCTGGTTCAGTCTCACAGTGGGAGAGCAGTTATTGATTACTACCGATCAGCTGATAGACCCTTCCCTCCTCTGATCAGTGATTCTGCTTCTTTTCAGTTGAGTGTGATAGTTATTTTTATAAGCTCAGCGAAGCCAACCTTTTTCTATGTACATATAAAGTTGTATTTTTTTAACTGTACCTGAATGCTTCACCATGACGACGACGACGACGATGATGATGATGATGATGATGATAGCTGCCTGCATTGGTAATCTGAAATATAAACACTTGTTTTTTGAATAACAACTTTGTTGTGTTTTTGATGCTTTGGCACAGTGACACCTGAACGCAGCGTGAGGCTATTGATCACATAAGCCCCGCCCCTTAGATATGCTATGTGCTAGGCTAATCTATTAATCTATGTTGAAGCCACATTTTGAAGATATTAGTTACATGTTAAATTGGTTTATGATTCATGTAGAGAACCAGTTATCTTACCGTTTGCTAGTATTGGGTATCTGCTGTAACTAACTAGTTTACAATGTAGATTAACTAGTTTACAATATACAATATAGATTAACTAACGGTTAATGTAACTAGTTAGCTATAGAACTAAACAATGTGCTAGCACCGGTTTGTTAGTTCTGCCCTGTATCAGAACCTAACTAGCGATCCAGTCTAGGTTTTACTAACATTAACTATCAGATGCAGCTAGAGAGCGAGCTGCTGTGTTTATATAAATAGTTACTATTGGAGCGCATTGTAAAGGGGCGGGGCTTAAGGATGGATGGCGTGCTGCAGTGTTTGTTATAATAAGAGTTTAAGGTTGATGAGACGAACAGATGTCGTGTGGAAGCTAAAATAAGTCATCTGCTGAGAAAGGTTGAAAGCTCCAGAACAGCTGCTTAATGGACTTTATGTGAGAGTGGAGATAGTAGATTTATTATTATTATTATTTATAAAACCTAAAATTAATGTTTGCTTTTAACTAATTTCAATTTAATGCAAAGAAGCAACTTCTGCAGAACTATCAGACTTTCTTTATATGAAAATATAAATATTTAATATGATCTATGATGGTACAGTTTATAATCTAATGAATCATTTCAACATATGCAGCCGTTGTTAGCAGGATTCCTGTACTCTGTAGCCAAACACTAACTAACCAGTTAATCTACTTTAACTGTGAGCTGAGTATCTAGTGTTTAACATGAACTATCTGATATAATTAACTAGCTCATGGTTAATGTAGATTGGTTAGTTAGTCAGATATAAAGTTTAACTCCATCTAGTTTTGCTCTGTAGCTAAATCCTA